GGCCGGCGCCGCGGCTCACTTGGTTAATCTTTCGCCTGCGGCGCCGGCATCCCATATGTGCGCCAAGTTCTAGTCCCGGCTGCTCCTCTTCCAGTCCAGTTCTCTGCTGTGGCCCAGGAGGGCAGTGGAGAATGGGGCAGTGGAAAATGGCCCAGGTGCTTGGGCCCTGCACCCACATGGGAGACCAGGAGACACCTGGCTCCTGGCTTCGGATCGGCGCGTTGCACCAACCGTAGTGGGCTGGAATTGTGGCAATTGTGGCTTACACAGCTAGGCCTCCGCCGGCAGCACTGGCCTCCCGTCTGGGCACTGGTTTGAGTCCCTACAGCTCCACTTCTGCTCCAACTCCTGGCTGATACGGCTGGGAAGACAGCGGGGGATGGCCCAAGTGCTTGGGCCCCTGAATCTACTTGGAAGACCCAGAAGAAGCTCCTGGATCCTGGCTTTCGTCTGAACCAGCCCTGGCCATTGTGGCCATTTGAGGAATGAACCAGAGGATGGAAGCTCACTTTCTCTCTCTCCCTCTAACTCAGCCTTTCAAATAAATAAAATATTTTAAAAAATATTTTATTTAGGGGCTGACACTGTGGCGTAGTGGGTAAAAGCCACCGTCTGTAGTGCTGGCATCCCATATGGGCACTGGTTTGAGTCCTGGCTGCTCCACTTCCTATCCAGCTCTCTGCTATGGCCTGGGAAAGCGGTAGAAGATGGCCCAAGTCCTTGGGCCCCTGCACCCATATGGGAGACCCAGAAGAAGCTCCTGGCTCCTGGCTTTGGATCAGCACAGCTCCGGCCATTGCAGCCAACTGGGGAGTGAACCAGAGGATGGAAGACCTCTCTCTGCCTCTCCTTTTCTGTGTCACTCTTTCAAGTAAAATAAATAAATCTTTAAAAAATTTTATTTAATTATTTGAGAGGTAGAGTTACAGACAGTGAGAGGGAGAGAGAGAAAGGTCTTCCATCTGCTGGTTCACTTCCCAAATGGCTGCAATGGCTGGAGCTGCGCCGATCCAAAGCCAGGAGCCAGGAGCTTCCTCTGGGTCTCCCACACAGGTGCAGGGGCCCAAACACTTGGGACATCCCCTGCTGCCTTCCCAGGCTACAGCAGAGAGCTGGGTCAGAAGAGGAGAAGCTAGGACCAGAACCAGCGCCCATATGGGAGGCCAGTGCTGCAGGTGGATGATTAATCTACTGTGCCACAGTGCTAGACCCTAAAATAAATAAAAAAAAAAAAAGGGTTGGGGGAGGGGTGCGCTGTGGCATAGTGGGTAAAGCTACCGCCTGCAGTGCTAGCATCCCATATGGGCACCGGTTCGAGTCCCGGCTGCCCACTTCTGATCCAGCTCTCTGCTGTGGCCTGGGAAAGCAGTGGAAAATGACCCAAGTCCTTGGGCTCCTATATCCATGTGGGCCAGAGGAAGCTCCTGGCTCCTGACTGACACAGCTCAGGCTGTTGCGGCCATCTGGGGAGTGAACCAGTGGATAGAAGATTTCTCTCTTCCTCTCTGCAGCTCTTTCAATTAAATAAATAAATCTTAAAGAAAAAAAAAAAAGCAAAACCACTTCTGCATGGAGAACCACAGAGTGACCTCCAGCTGACATCTCTGACTCCAGAGCCCAGGGCCAGCAGATAACACGGTCACGACGCTGAGTGGATAAGAACAAACATGGCCAGGGAGAAGGACGGACATTCCTGGATAAGCCAGGACTGCAAGAACTCACTGTCATGGCCTGGCCCTACAGGAAACCCCCAGCGGGTCTTTCGGTCTGAAACAACACGCAGTGAGCGCCCCGAACGCCCGAGGCTGAGCGTTAACTCCTTCCCACATTTCCAAGTGCAAGGACTTTCTCCTGGGAGAGCCGTGGGCAGAGCTGGATTTATGAACAGCGCAAGGAAGCAGAGGCAGGCGGGCGCTGACAGCTGCTGCCCACGTCCAAGGATGTGTTCCGCTCCTACCACCCCACAAACACACGCACACGGCGCGGCCTAGCAAGGTAAGCCACTGGCCATGACGCCAGCACCCACGTGGGTGCCGGTCCACTCCCGATCACGCTCCCTGAGAACACGGCAGGACATGGCCCCTGCTTGGGCCCTGCACCCATGCAGGAAACGCAGAGAAGCCCCTGGCTCCTGGCTCCGGCCTGGCTCAGCTCTGGCTGTTGCAGCCATCCAGAGAGTGAACCAACAAATGGAAGACCTCTCTGTCTCTCCCTCTCTCAATAAAAAAAAAATAAAAAAAAAAAATCTCAAAAAAAAAAATCTCAAAAAAAGAAAAGTACAGGAGAACCAACCAAGAGGTAAGGCTGGTCCCTGATGGGGAAAGAGTAAAACAGGAGAAGATGATGTAGGAATCGGTACTGTCCTGTTCTCCAGCGTGAGGGACCCGCCCAGGGCACCTGGCTGCTGCTAGTACAGGGCGCACGTCTGCACCCGCCTGGCAGTTAAGAGAGGGCTTTGGACTTGAACTTGGTGCAAACCGCAGGCAGGCGTGCTCCTCCCGGGCCGGGCCACATCTCCTCACCACTGGGAGGACCAAGTATCCTCACCAGGCTCCGGCTCATCACAAGGGAAACAGGCTTGGCCCCTCAGCTCCTAGCACAGGGAAGGGGACCTCCTGGTGGCCGTCTACACGATCCATCGTGTTCTGCTTTTGGGGGCTCTTTCTGGGGCTGTAAGGTGGGATGGCCAAGACACTTGCATGTGCTCGTGGGCAGCTCCTCTGACCCCACAGCTCCTGGGGAGCCGTGAGGAGTGTCTGCTCAGAGGACATGGGGCATGTCCCCCAGACGGTCTTCACGAGGAGGAGCAGGGTGGCTGCTCTGCAGGAGCCCAGGGTGCCTTCTCTGGGGAGCACTGGCTTAGTCCCGCATCAAGGGTGCTGCGTCGTCCTCATGCAGGCATAGGGGGCCGCTGAGATGGCCCTAGGGACGCGGCAGCTGCTGGCACAGGCTGTGGGTGGCAGCGGGTCTACCTCTTTGCATCACTCAAGTGTGGTTCTGTCTTTGGAAACCTTCCACAGAGCTCCCTGAGCCCAGAAACCAAGGCTACGTGGCCCTGCAGCACGCACCTGCTTCCGGTAGGGCGTGATGACGCCGATGTCGCTGGCAGACACGGGGCTGGAGATGCTGCGGGCCAGGAGGCAGCAGTAGCGCATGACCTGCACAGCCTCCGCCGGGTTGAACCACGAGGGGCTTCTTCCTTCACGGGCCTCGTTGCCCTGGGTTGATGAGGAGAGAAAACTTCGTTTACTCAACAATGCTAACCAAGGGCCCGTGGTCCCGGAGCCGAATACGCAACGACAGGAAACACCTGGGTACCCAGCCCCCTGCAGAACCCAGGGCAGATGTCATGAAGTAACTGCATCACAGCCGGACTCAACACTGCAACAGAGGCCAGGACAGGAAGAGAACACTGGGCACGGGTGGTGTTGTGGAAGCGCTCCCTCAGGGAGGGGCCCTGGGGAGGACTCACAGGAGTCTCCCGGCCAAGAGCAGGGCCCTGACACAGGGCATGGATGGCCGCACGCTGGACAGAGGGAACCGTCAAGGTGGCCAGACACGGGTCCACAGTGAGCCAGGCAGCACCGCCTGCTGAGTGGCTGCAGTAAGGCCCCGCCCCGGGCTGGCTGCTCCCACCGCACGCTGAGGCCCTCACCCACTCCCACCTCCAGCTCTGGGCTCTCTGAGCCAACCCTATGGCCACATCTCAAGCAGCTTTTACTGGAGAACAGATGACTCATGTATTTTTAAATTTATTATGGGGGGAGGGATGGAAACTGAGAATAAGAGTTCCTACCTGCTAGTTCACTTCCTAGATCCAGAAAGGGGCTGGGAATGCTATCCCACCTCCCACACGCTGGCAGGAGCTATCATCACTACCTCATAGGGTCTGCACGGGCAGGAAGCAGGAGTCAGGGATCGGATCTGGGAACCAAACCAGGTACTCCAATGTGGGTTTTCCCAGGCCATAGCAGAGAGCTGGATCAGAAGTGGAGCAGCCAGGACTCAAACCAGCTACCATATGGGATGCTGGCACTGCAGGCAGTGGCTTTACCAGCTACGCCACAGCGCCGGCCCCTTTTTATTTTTTTTAAAAGGTTTATTTATTTATTTGAAAGGCAGAGTCCGGCACCATGGCTCAATAAGCTAGAACCAGCACACCGGGTTCTAGTCCTGGTTGGGACGCCGGATTCTGTCCCGGTTGCCCCTCTTCCAGGCCAGCTCTCTGCTGTGGCCAGGGAGTGCAGTGGAGGATGGCCCAAGTGCTTGGGCCCTGCACCCCATGGGAGACCAGGATAAATACCTGGCTCCAGGCTTTGATCAGCGCGGTGTGCTGGCCGCACTGCGCTGGCCGCAGCGGCCATTGTGGGGTGAACCAATGGAAAAGGAAGACCTTTTTCTCTCTCTCTCACTGTCCACTCTGCCTGTCAAAAAAAAAAAACAAAAAAACACAAAAAACAAAAACCAAACAGGCAGAGTTAGAGAAAGAGAAAAAGAGGGGAAGAGAGACAGAGAGAATCTTCCACAAGCTGGTTCACTCCCCAAATGGCCACAACAGCTGGGCGGGGCTAGGCCAAAGCCAGGAGCCTCTTTGGGGTCTCCCATGTGGGTACAGGGCCCAAGGACTTGGGCCATCTTCTGCTGCTTTCCCAGGTATTAGCAGGGAGCTGGATCAAAGCGGAGCAGCCAGGACTGGAACCAGCACTGGGATGCTGTTACTGCAGACCGCAGCTTAACCGGTTCACTGTACCACAGTGCCAGCCCTGCCAACGGGTTTGATAGGGGTGCCAGGTCCACTCAGGGAGGAAAGGACCGTCTGCAGTGAGTGGAGCTGAGAAGACTGGATTCCCACGTGTGCCAGAATGAAGCCAGGGGCAGGCGTTGTGATGCGAGCGTTTCAGCTGCCACTTGGGACCCCTGCTCCCACATCAGAGTACTGGTTTGAGTCCCGGCTCCCTTGCCCCCAATACAGCCTCCTGCTAGTGCATCCTGGGAGGTGGCAGGTGATGGCTCGAGTGCTTGGGTGCCAGGCACCCATGTGAGAGACCTGGATGGAGTTCCAGGCTCCTGGCCCTGCCTGGCCCAGCCCTGGCTGTGGGTAGGCATTTGGTGAGTGACCCGGTGGGTGGAAGGTCTCTGTCCCTGTTGCTCTTTCAACTAAATGAAAATAAACACTTTTTAAAAAACGAAGTTATACCTCCATACAAAATTTAAAACAGACCAAAGAGCTAAATGCAGGCTGAAATCTATACACCTCTTCACAAAATGGGGAGACTGATTCTTGGGGGGTATGATGCTAGAGATACAGGAACAACTGAGCAGATAAACTAGACAATCTAAATAAAATGCCAGGGCCAGCGCCGCGGCTCACTAGGCTAATCCTCCGCCTGCGGAGCCGGCATCCCATATGGGCACCGGGTTCTGTCCCGGTTGCTCCTCTTCCAGGCCAGCTCTCTGCTGTGGCCCGGGAGGGCAGTGGAGGATGGCCCACGTGCTTGGGTCCTGCACCCCATGGGAGACCAGGAGAAGCACCTGGCTCCTGGCTTCAGATTGGTGCAGCTCCAGCTGTAGCGGCCATTTGGGGAGTGAACCAACAGAAGGAAGACCTTTCTCTCTGTCTCTCTCAATGTCTATAACTCTGTCAAATAATAAAAATAAAAATCCCAGAGTGGGCATCGGTTTCGCAGTCAGGACACCAGTTAAAGCGCTCCTGTCCCCATCGTGGGTTAAGTCTTGGCTGCTGACTCGGCTTCCTGCAGCACAGACCTGAGAAGCAGGGGTGACGGCGCAAGCACTCGGGGGGGGGGGGGGGGCCTGCTGCTCACGTCGGGACCCGGATGGAGCTCCCGTCTCCTGGCTCTGGCTCGGCCCAGCCACGGCTGCTGTGCACCTCTGTGGCGTCAACCAGGGATGGGAGCTTGTTCTCCCTCTGCCTCTCCAATAAATGAGTTAAACAGTCAAAGAGAACGACAAAGAGGACTCGCATGGGCATTTCTCCCGAGATGACACACGACCAGCTGGCCTAGGAGAAGCTGCTCAGCGTCACTGGTCATTAGGGAACCACCTGAGTTATCACCTCTCACCCACCAAGGCGGCCACTATGAAACCCCAGAACCAACACGAGCTGGTGGAGGAGCAGAGAAACCAGAACCCCCGTGCACAGCCATGGCACACAGCACTACCCCGTGGCCCGGCAGCTCCGTATCTGAGAAGACACCCCACAGAGAAGTGAAAGCAGGACCTCAGAGCCACGTGTCCCTCCGTGCTCACAGAGCTTCAGTAAAAACACCCGAATGTTTGCAGCCCACGTGTCCACAAGCAGCGGGGCGCCACAGAGTCTTCGAAAAAAGAAGGGAATTCTTTTTTATTTACTTGAAAGAGCTAGACACTCACATATACACGCATACCGGGGAGGGGGTTGTCCTCCACCTGCTAGTTCACTCCTCAAATGGTTGCAGTGGACGGAGCTGTGCCCTTCTGAAGCCAGGAGCTGGGAGCTTCTTCCAGGGCTCCAAGGACCTGGGCCATTCCCCACTGCCTTCTCAGGGGCATTAGCCAGGGGCTGGATTGGAAGTAGAGCAGCTGGGACTCAAACCAGGGCACTGCAAGTGAGGCCCTTAACCTGCTGCACCACAGTGCTGGCCCCAGGAAGGAAAATTTAGTCATTTAAATTTTATTTGAAAGACAGAATGAGGGGTCGGTGCAGCAGCACAGGGTGTTAACGCCCCAGCCTGCAGCACCAGCATCCCATATGGGCGCCGGTTCAAGTTCCAGCTGCTCCACTTCCAATGCAGCCCCCTGCTAATGCAGCTGGGAGGGCAGTGAAGAATGGCCCAAGTCCTTGGGCCCCTGCACCTACACGGGAGACCCAGAAGAAGCTCCTAGTTCCTTTCTTTGGATAGACCCAGCTCCGGCCGTTGTGGCCATCTGGGGAGTGAACCAGTGGATGGAAGACCTCTCTCTGTCTCTCCCTCTGTCTGTAACTCTGCCTCTCAAATAAATAAATCAATCTTAAAAAAAAAAAAAAGAATGATTAAGAGAGACAGAGGCAGAGACACAGAGGTACCTTCCATCTGTTGGTTCACTCCCTAAAAGGCCACAACAGCCATCATCCACTGCCCTCCTGAGCCATCGGCAGGGAGCTGGGTCTGAAAGGGAGCTCTGATAGGCGCTGCCTGCATTTGCAGGCTATGGCTTAACCTGCTGCACCACAATGCCAGTCCTAAATGGAAAGAAATTCTGACACGCACCACTCACACACACTGAGGACACTGTACCAGACACAGAAGGACCGACACTGCATGACTCACTCACGTGAGGCAACGGGAAGAATCAAGTTCTCAGAAACACAAGGTGGAATGGTGGGTGCAGGGGCTGGAGTAGGGCACAGGGGGGCTTAATAAGGATTTTGCAAAATGAAAAAGTTTTGCAGGCTGGTTACAAACTGATGAAATATACTTTAATACTACTGAGTTTCACAGCTAAAAATGGTTACCATGGGGTCTCGTGCTGTGCCAGTGGGCTAAGCATCTGCCTGCAGTGCTGGCACCCCATATGGGCACCAGTTCGAGTCCCAGCTGCTCCTCTTCCCATCTAGGTCTCTGCTAATGTGCCTGGGAAAGCAAAACCCACGAGGCTACAAGGGCTAGAAAGTAAGACAGAACTGGATAAAAAAGTACAATTTCTGGAGTAGTGCTGTGGTTCAGCGGGATGCACGCTGGCATCCCGTATCTGAACGCTGCTGTGAGTCCCAGCTGTGCCGTGTCTGACCCAACCCCTGCTGAAGCACCTGAGAAAGCAGTGGAAGACGACCCTAGTGCTTGGGTCGCTGCCACCCAGGTCAGAGACCAGAATGGGGTTCCTGGCTCTTGACTTCTGCCTGGCCCAGCCTTGGCTGTTGCAGCCATCTGGAGACTGAACCAATGTGAAGGTCTGTCTGTCTCCCCCTCTCTCTGATGCTCTGTCTCCCAGGTACACAAATACACTTTATGCATTTTTAAAGCCCAATTTGAAGGTGAGACTTCACTACTTTTCTCTACGGGGGAGCTCCTAGCAGATAGAATGCAGACCAGGGTGCAGCGGAGCGGGGGCCGTCTCCGAGGCTAACGGCAAAAGGACTACACAGAGCATCCACTAAAGCTGACACCTAATTGACCATATTAAAAAATACAAAACAAGCAAACAAAAAAAACCCAAGGTCTTCAACCAACACTTAATAAACAGAAACTAAAAAATCGGTGGTTAAAACATTCTCCACAACTCAGAAATTAGTTAAGAAAACCACCTGTCTCGGGGCCGGCGCCATGGCGCAGTAGGTTAATCCTCCACCTGCAGTACCGGCATCCCATGTGGGCGCCTGTTCTAGTCCTGGCTGCTTCTCTTTGATTAGCTCTATGCTATGGCCTGGGAAAGCAGTGGAAGATGGCCCAAGTGCTTGGGCCCCTGCACTCATGTGGGAGACCTGAGAGAAGCTCCTGGCTCCTGGCTTCGGATTGGTGCAGCTCCAGCTGTTGCGGTCAACTGGGGAGTGAACCAGCAGATGGAAGACCTTTCTGTCTGTCTCTCTCTGTAACTCTGTCAATAAATAAATAAAAATCTTAAAAAAAAAAAAAAAAAAGAAAAAACCCACCCTTTTCAAGGAAGAGAAGGGAGGAGGAAGTGGCTGTGAGAGCCACCCGGATGGGCCTCGTGACCGGCAGGGAGGACACAGCACTTAAGGAGGGCACACGGGAGCCCGCCCTTCTCAAGGGGTGGGGGCAGCACGTGTCACCTGTGGGCTCAGTGATTCATGTTACTCTGTAAAGCTCTGGTGGTTTTCTTTTAGATTTATTGGAAAGGCAGAGAGAGACAGAGAGAGGAAGGGAGGTCTTCCATCCATGGTTCACTCCCCAGACGGCCACAACAGCCAGGGCTGGGCCAGAACAGAGCTCGGAGCTTCTTCCAGGTCTCCCACGTGGGTGCAAGGGTTCAAGGACTTGGGCCATCTGTTCCTTTCCCAGGCACGTTAGCAGGGAGCTGGACTGGAAGTGCAGCAGCCAGGTCTTGAACTGGCACCCACGTGGACGCTGGCATTGCAGGCGGTGGCTTTAGCCTGCCGAGTCACAGCACCGGCCCCAACTCTGTTCCAGAGCGAGTTTCCACGCCCAGGTGACCTGGACTCAGCCTGCACTGCTCAGGCAGGAACTTGGGGGGCACCGGCCCCCGCCTGGGGGAGCCCCCATCTTGTTTCGCACGCTGCAGCCGCCCCTGCATGGCTCAGGGGCTTCCTCCAGATGCAGCCGCCCCTGCATGGCTCAGGGGCTTCCTCCAGATGCAGCAGAGGGACTCCCTCCAGCACAACCTCTGGTTTCTAAGGAGCGATAAAGCTTCAGGAACAGCTGGATCCAGGTCCTGTTTGTGATTTGAGAGGCAGAGAGGGAGTGGGGGAGCGAGTGGGCGAGTGCACAAGCACACTGGCCACTCTTCAGACGCCCACAGGAGCTGGGCCACAGGAACTAGAAACGGGCTCAATCCAGGGCTCCCTGTGGTGGCAGGAGCCTGTCCCCTGCTGCCTTCTGGGTCTGCACTGGCAGGAAGCTGGAGCCAAGAACTGCACTGGGACTTGAACCCAGGACTTGTGCTGTGCGATGCAGGTGTTCTAGCCACCAGGTTACATGCTTGTCTCATCTGCTTCTGAGGATGGCAAAACCAGGCAGGCAGTGGGGACCTGCATTCCTGGGGGCAGAAATGCACCTCAAGGCTCCAGTGTGTTGGCCAACCAGTGAAGACGGCCCCCCGGGCACCCTTCTTGAGGTGCCGCTTCTCTTGGGAGCCCCTCCTACCCTTGGTGGGGGTGAGTTCACTCTGGACAGACCCCTAATGGATGTTCCCCCCGTGGAGTTCAGTGAGAAGCCGAGTGTGGGCAGGCAGCTATGTGAGCTGTGTCCGCGATTGTGCAACTGGAGGTGGCGCTGCAGGCAGAAGGGGGTGCCTGACACCAGCTCCTTGTCTCTTAGGGGTTGATACAAAACTTAACCTCTGCTGCTTTCAACCAAGTTCCAAACGCAAGTCACCTGAGTTCTGGGCCACTGAGCCCTGGCTCCACCTCTCCTGAGGCCACGGCGAGGGGCCGCTCTAGCCTGCTGCTGCCCCTCACGTCCCAGGGGCTGCTCAGGCCTGTGGCGACCCCACACGGGGTTCTCACGTGACTGGGCTCCTTGAGCAAATGACCTGCACTGTCCCAGCTCTCCTGCCTCTGAGTGCTGCTTGGAGCTCCTCCCCAGCTCAGGGAGCCCAGCACCCATCTGCTGTCCTGCGGCCACCCCCGTGTGGCTCTCTCTGGGCACAGTTTGTCTGACAGGAGAGGTCAGTGCTCAGACTTGAGGGTCAACAGCCCCTTGTCAGTGCCTCTTAGCCCTCAGAGACCAGCACTGAGCCTGCCCCGGCACACACTGGGACAGTCGAAGCTCGGGCCCTTGCCCACACAGCGAGTCCCGAGCGGCTGTGCACACCGCTTACCCGCACGCCGTGGAAGATGAGAGGGAAGCCTTTCTTTGGCAGTTTCTCCCAGCCCAGCAGAGAGGTCACCACTGCGGGGTCAGCACAGACTTCGAGCTCCTTGTGGTAGAAGAGCCGGGACGGCAGCGCCAGCAGGGCCGAGTGGGATCTGTAGTTCTTCACCAGCTTCGTCACCTGTGCGGAGGAGGCGGCCACAGATGTTGGCAACTCGAACAGGCCTGGCCACAGGGAGAGGGTGTGTGGGAACCCTGCCAGTGTCCACTCCACGGGGCAGCCCTGCTGCTGCTGTCCCCTGCCCTCAAAGCCAGCCCCCCGGAAAGCTGTTGAACCAAGGGTCCATCTTCAGAGACAAGAAAGGCCCTCCTGCCCCTCCCGGGTCTGGATGCAGCCGAGTCTCTCAAAGGAGGCAGGTGGCCCCTGCCACACAGAACCTGGCCGCCAGGCGAGGGGCTGGCACGGACACCCGGACATCCGTTACAGGCCCCAGGCTTTTCTCTGGACCCAGTCTCGCAACTCCAGCCTGCACACGAAGCCCTGTCTTGCTCAGCTGTAGTACAGCCACATACCAGGACAATGGACAGGCTGGGGACCATGACAACCCCGTGGCGTGAGGCATTCACTCGCAGAGTTCTTCCTTCGTCCCATTGGCCCTGCTACTTCTTTTTTAAAATATTTACTTGAAAATCAGAGTTACAGAGAAGAGAGATTGATCCTCCATGCACTGGTTCATTTCCCAGATGGCTCAAGGGCCAGCGCTGAACACCAAAGCCAGGAGTTCCATCCAGGCCTCCCGCATGGGAGGAGGGAGCCCAAACACTTGGGCCATCTTCTGCTGCTTCCCCAGACCATCAGCAGGGAGCTGGATCACAAGTGGAGCAGCCAGGGCATGAACGAGCACGTACTTAGGACGCTGGTGTCACAGCCGGTGGCTTTACCTGCTGCACCACAATGCCAGCCCCTGGCCCGGTGACTCCCGACTCAGGGGAACAAGCTTCAGTTCACAAGTCAGCCTAAGACGCCAATCAAAACGCTGAGGCTGGCCGAGCATCCCGACAGCGTGCCTCACCTGGGCGTGCAGGTGATGGGAGGGGGAGGGGCACACTGCACCAGGGCTCACAGAGCTTGCAGGACAGGTGGGCCCTGCGGAATGTCCCCAGGGACGGCAGCAGCACGAGGGGCACAGGGGCACAGGCCATGAGCACAGGGCAGCTCCAGCAGGCAGCACGGAGCTCAGGTGCCCGCGCTGGGCCCAGCAGATGTCACAGCCGCCGTCTCGTCCTGGGGTGGCAGCAGGGGCCCCCTGAGCCTGCCGATGGACCACGTCGCTCGGACAGCAGGCGTCTCTCTTGGGGGTGGCCCTCACAGGGTCTTCCTCACCTCGAGACAGCCTACCCCTCCACAAAGCCTGGGCTCCACCCCTGCCCCTCAGGACTTTCAGCGGGGGGAGGGCTCCACTGCCCACAGCAGCAGCAGGCTCCAAGTGGACCTGTCCGTCGTCGGCCGCCCCTCCCGTCTCCAGTGATGCTGGCCACGAGCCCACGTGGACATCGGCTTTGCTTCTAGATGCGAGTTCAGAGAACGCTGCTTGGCTCCCTGTGACCGCCGGACTCTGCACACCCAACGTTCGTGAGTGCAGCGTGCTGGGGCTGCTGGGGACTCGGGGTGAGGCAGCGGGCAGCAGGCGAGCCAGGAGCTGCAGGATGTGCGCTGCAGGTCAGGAGACCACTGGGACCCTCCTGACAGCCTCTCTCCGGCAGGCCTTCTCTTTTAGGAAAGATTACAAAGGTGACTCCCTGCTTTTCTCAGCAGCACCTCAGACAGCTGGAAGCCTGCCCAGTCAGCAGCCCTGAGCAGTGACAGGGGGCGGTGGTTCGTGTGTGGCGCAGGGGACCCAGAGCGGCACACCCTCCCCGAGGAGCCCTTGCACAGGGCACAGTGCGCCAACACGAACAAGCCTGAAGGGGCCAGGTGATTCTGCTGCAGGTAGGAAAATCCTCACTTGTCTTCTCTAGGCCCAGGACACGACTCGGTAGACAAGGAGGGCAGGGGAGCCCCGAGCTGTGCGGCAGCAGCTGACCTGCGCCTGGCGGCCTGCACCCGGCACCACCTGTGCTGGGAACTTACCAACAAGGGGTTGTATGCACCACATGCACCGAAAGCGTTCTCATCCCTCAGGTATGCTGGCCGGGACATGAGCCTTTCCAACATGGACACGTTCAGCCCGTAGGCCATGGCCAGCCGGGACTTGATGACTGGGCCGAGCTGCATGGGGTCCCCGGCAAGCACGATCTGCAGCACAAAAGGGGACTCAGCAGGTGACGGGCAGGGCAGCCTCCCGCCTCCCACCCACCCAGGGCAGCCGGGGAGCGCTGGCGGTCACACAGGCAGCAGGGCCCCTGGGGTCACTCTGGCTGCTGGGGTCAGGAGGGCGTGGCTGGGCAGCCTGATGGCAGCCACGGAGGTGGGGAAGAACCGCACAGGCCTGAGACACGAGCCCCTTCGTGAGCTGCCTCCACGTGCCCCTCCCGGCCCAAGCTGCAGCTGGCTCTCTCCCCTAAACTTGCAGAGCTGCGTGAGCTCCAGCCGCGAGACCGGTCTCCCAGTTCCTGCTGTGCCTGGCCCTGGCAGAGGCCCCTCCCCCGGCCTTTCTCCCGGATGCTCCATCCAGGTACAAGGCCCAGCCATGCTGACCATCTCCGAGGCCACAGGCTTCAACCACCTCCGTGTCCGACAGGTCTGAACCTTTTACCACCTGTCTACGCCCCTGGGCATGTGGGAGCTCACAGAGAGCCGGGACCCCAGTTCCTGACCCCACCGCTGCGTCCCCACTGCCCAGGATGGTCCCGCCTTCCGAGTGAGCAGGAGTGAGTGCGACAGAGCGGCCTGCCTCCTCCTGGTCCAGAGGAAGGAGATCTGTGACTGCACCACAGCCCACCACTGCCAGCAACATCAGGTCCTGGGCACTGTCCTGACCCCTGTAAGGCTGTGGCTGCCCCCCAAGGACCAAGGCCCCAGCACTGTGGGAAACGGCATGCATGGCACACAGTCCTCACCTGACCACTGACGTCTGAGACCAGCCCCAAGGGGATGAGGCATTCCGGCTCGCTCGCCTGCCCAGCCTCGTCCACAAAGACGTGGGTAAAATGTCCAATTCTAGGGTCAAAAGATGACTTCAGTGGTAATTTCTGCCAAACTGTCTTATAACTGGTGCCAACAACATGGGCAAAGTCACGTTCAATACCGTGGGGTCACAGCGGGGCCACCGTACAGATGCTGGATGATGCGCACTCCCACGAACTTCCTGAGGCCTCCACAAACACGTGGATTTCAACAAGCAAACCTACTCTGAATGGCATTTCCCACACACTGCATGAAGTACTTTTGTGTTTGCTTAAATATTCACATCTAGGCTGGGCATTTGGCCTAGTCACCAAGGCAGCCACATGTCGGAGTGCCTGGTTTGATGCCGATCTGGCTGCTCGCTCCGGCCGCCCGCTAGCGCAGGCCGATGCTCGAGCGGCTGCATGCCTGCCACTCACTCGGGACCTGGCCTGGTTCCGGACTCCCGGCTTCAGCAGCTCTGGCCTCTGCAGGCATCTGGGGAGTGAGCAGCAGACAGGCGCTCTCACACTAATTTTTAAATTCTTCCCTTAAGAAAAAAATGGGAAGGAACAAGGGGTGAGGCTGGGTGTGGGCAAAGCACGGGATGTCCCCGTGGCAACTAAGGGCACTGCACAGCCATGACGGCAGGCCCGTGGCTACTTCTCCGTGGGCCTCTGTTCCCCACGTGACAGGCAGGGCCAGTCAGGTGCTGCAGTCGGCACAGGCTGCTCCTCCATCTGCTCCTTTCCTCCGACTTCTGCTCCCCAGCTGCTCTCAGTGGGGGCACTGCCCAGCCTTCCAAGCCAACAGACCAAGGCCTGAGTTGAAGAGGACGTCGGGCCAGCCTCTGTATGGACCCTCACTATAGCCAGCTGCTAGGCCCGAGGAAACAAGCTGGGGGCAGAAGACCCCTGCGGCTCAGAGTCAGGGCTGGCAGGACAGGCCCCAGGTGTGCACCCAATTTGGTTGCCAAGCCTGAGCCCTCCTCCCCCTGACCCCAACACTGGACAGAGTTTATGCCCACAGCCCCGGATGCCCCACTGTGGGCGGACGAGGCCCGGATCTGCAGATCTCAAGCTCCGGCCTCCTGCAGCGATGCCCAGCCCACGGAAGACGAGGACATTGTGACATCGCCCCCGTCACGACTCAGTCTCAGCTGACACAGCACACGATGCACCCTCCCGAGGTGTGCCTGTCTTCACCCCGAGCCCACCGCAGCTGTTACGGCTGCTTCCCCGCACGACACCGCTCTCTGCACCTCCCAAGCATCCCCAGCCTCAGGACCCCAGTGGTCCTCAAAGGGCTGTTCCAACCAGGGACTCCCAATCCAGCTCCTGCACAGACGGCCACCTGGGAGAGCTGTCACGGGGCTGACCTGGCAGAGCCCAGCAGTTCCCCTGCAGGACCGCCCAGTGCCCCTTGAAGCTCCACCCCCTCTTCTCAAAAGCCTTTCAGGGCTCCTGCTGAACCGGGGCTCGGCCGCTGGGCCTGGGCCTCCAGTGCCAGCTCCGCCTCCCCTGCCCTCCTCGTCATCCGGCTCTGGCTCTGCGGAGGCCTCTGTGTGCTGGCCATCCTGCAGGTCCCCGGCCGTGCCTCTGCGCGCTCACCTCACGCCTATCTGGTAGAAGAGGCCAGCACTGCTGCAGGTGGTGATGATGACCCTGAAGCGCGAGGCTTTCCAGATGTCTTCCCCGTCCTTGCAGTAGGGCTTGATGGCGTCGAGGATCGTCTGCGGGCGTGGGGGGAGGTAACCTCAGGTTTCAAAGCAGTGAGCATTTATTTTAATGGGACAGAATCAGAAGTTTGACAGGAATCCTAACACAACCTTGCCTCAATGCCACCCTTTAGTCGGGACTAAGTACCCATCTAAGATTGTTCTAAGGGGCCAGCGCTGTGGCATAGCGGGTAAAGCTGCTGCCTGCAGTGCCGGCATCCCATGTGGACACTGGTTCAAGTCCTGGCTGCTCCACTTACAATCCAGCTCTCTGCTGTGGCCTGGGAAAGCAGAAGATGCCCAAGTGCTTGGACCCCTGAACCCACGTGGGAGACCTGGAGGAAGCTCCTGGCTCCTGGCTTCAGATCGGCCCAGCTCCGGCCGTTGCAGCCAACTGTAGAATGAACCAGCGGATGGAAGATCCCTCTTTCTCTCTCTCTGTAACTCTGCCTTTCAAATAATAAATAAATCTTAAAAAATAAGATTGTTTTAAAACACTGTATATTTTCATTAACATTCAGCCCATGTTGTGTAGGTTCTAGGCCACAAATATGATCCTGTAGCTCCTTCCCCCAAAAACAATTTCATACATTTTCTGGGTTTCATTCCTTTTTCCCAGCAATCTTCAACCTATAAACAAATCAAAAACTTACAATTTTCCTAACCAGTTATTAATAATCAAATGAATAAAACAAAACTAAAAAGAAATAATACATTTGAACAGCAAACAAAAGAGGAACATGAGAATTATTTTTTAAGATTTATTTATTTGAAAGATTTACAGAAATAGGAAGAGACAGAAAGCTTCCACCCACTGGTTCAAACCCCAGCTGGCTGCAGCAGCCGGAGCTGAGCTGATCTGAAGCCAGGAGCTGCTTCCGGGTCTCCCACGTGGGTGCAGGGGCCCAAGCACTTGGGCCATCCTCTGCTGCTTTCCCAGGCCATTAGCAGGGAGCTGGATTGGAAGTGGAACAGCCAGCACTTGAACCGACACCCATATGGGATGCTGACATTGCAGGCTAGGGTTTTAACCCAGTGAGCCAGTGTCGACCCCGGAACATGAGAACTTAACAAAGCTACAAACACACAACAGGACTAACTTCACAGACTGCAAATGAGAAACTAATGAAATATTCAGGAAAACAATTCCCCCACCAGGGCTGTCACTTGGCACGGCAGCCAAGGTGCTGCCTGGGAGGTCAGGGTGTCCAGCTTGGAGCCCAGCTCTATTGATTCCAGTGTCCTGCTAACACACACCCAGAGAGGCAGCAGGTGATGGCTCAAGTACTCTGATCTGACATCCCCATGGGAGACGCAGACAGAGTTCTGGGCTCCCGGCTTCGGCCTGGCTCAGCCCTGTGTTCGCATTTGGAGAGTGAATCAGCCTCTCTCTTTCTCTGCTCCTTCTCTGACTCTCCACCATAAATAAGAGTAATGAATAACAATTAAAACAAAGCACCCCACCACTCAACAGCAAGTTCAGAGGCACAGCAGCTTCCTGACACTCACCTCCTCGAACCTGCAGGTGGCATTCACCCTCACCATGGCTGCGGGCCGCAGCACCTTGCTCTCATGCAGCCGCAAACACACGAGGTCCGCGGCACTGTTGGAGGGCGCGCACACCAGAATCCGACTGTCCGCCAGAGCACGATGCACCTTCGTCAAGGACAGAGACCAGGGTCATGGAGAGCAGCCCTGCCCTGTGAAGGCTCGGCGACCACAGCTCAGCCACAGGGAGGGTGCTGCGGGTGGGTGTGGGGCGGGGTCCTCTGCACTATCCAAGACTCCGACCACCTCGCGAGGCACACTTCCTACTTGAGCCTGCACTCAGCGCTCGTGCAGGGACAGCACTCAGCACCTGCTTGCTGACCTGTAGCCTGCATGCCTAGGACGACTGGTAACAGCGCTGTCTTGATTTAATTAAATATAAGCGCAGATGCCAGAGACGTGTGCAGGACAGTGGCTTCAGTTGCTGGAGAGGCAGCAACATCTCATGATGTGACTGAAATTTAAATAGTGGATTTGAAATTTACCATTTCTGCAATGGAGAGTTTGCGTCTAAACCTGTAAAATAAGCTTTTGAAATGCTACAAATTCACACTGCAAACTTGGCTTAATATCCTGGAACAACTGGACTACTCAGCCCTTCACAACTTTCTGACTACGAAGTCTGCCTGTGAGGACGGGGACACCGGAGCACCGCGTCCAGGGCTCACGGCCCTCACCTGTAACACAGCCTCGATGATCGTCACCGTCTTCCCAGTGCCAGGAGGGCCAAAGAGAATATACGGGAGTGGGCGGCAGTCCCCACTCAGAATTCTTCGAACCGCGAGCTGCTGGTTCTCATTGAGCACGGGGTTGAAAAATTCCGTGTCTTTTGCTTTGGGAATCTCAGTTTCGTCGACTGCATTTAAAAGAGAAAAACAAGATTCAGTCAGAGGTCAGGAAGCCTCCTCCTAGGTCGGGCAGCACTCAGCTGTCCGAGTGCAGGCCAGGCCACATCCAGCCCTGCAGGGTGCCCCCCAGGACAGAGTATCACACGCTGCCTGTGATCCCCTGTGCTCCACTGATGGGTCAGGCAAACTCCCTCAGCTCTGTGAGGGCAGAGACAGGCCTTTCCATCCACGCTGTGCTCTGCTCGGGCAGTGCCAGCTAAAACAGTGGCGGCAGGATTCGAAAGCATCTCACGAGGTCGGGGCAGGTGCAATCCACAGGCTGAGAGCCTCTTGCACGAACCTAACCGAGAGCGCTGCCTCCTCCTTGTGCTCCTTCTGTAAGAGGTGGGTTTCCCAGGGCGCTGCTTTCCTGGCTAAACCCTTCAGGCCAAGCTCCTCGGAGCCCTTCCCAGGCACGTACCTGCGTCATGCGTCTCTGCAGCCCCTGGCTGGTTCTCGGTGCCCACAGGCCTCTCCTTTGCTGCAGGCTTAGTTTGGTCCTTCGTGGTTTTACTATCCTGGAAATTTCCATACAGCAAAGTGGTGACAAAGCCCAGTTCTGTGTTCACACCGGCCTAGGTTAAAGAGCAAACAGCTCGCCCGACACAGGTGCCTGGCAGGAAGCTGCTAAAAAGGTTCAGGCTTCACTTCTAAACCACAGCTTCATAACGTTTAATGATATTCAGTAAACACAGCTTAATAATCTTTGTCCTTTTAAAATAAAACTGAGGACTTGAATCTAAAAATAAATAAATTTTGTGACATTTAATAAACCAAAACAAAGGACTAAGGATTATCTAATATACATTATTCCTGCTTCCGTGGCTGGCTTGTGTGTGAGCCTGGGGGGAGGTTAAGGCACAGCCCACACCATGTTCTCCTGGGAGGGCCTCTGGGGGCCATGCTCTTGCAGACCCCCTCCCCACAGATGGGCACAGGGCCTTGGGATCCTGCACAGGACAGGTTCAGTGTGTTTCAATGCACACAGAATTTGTCCTGAATCTATGATACTGTGTTTCAGTTGCTCCATTAGAAACAATTCCATAACTCAGTGTTTTTTTAAGCTTTATCTTATTTATCTGAAAGGTAGAGTTACAGAGAGAGAAAGAGAGAGGGAAAGAAATAGAGACAGAGGTCTGGCGCTGTGGTGCAGCAGGTGAAGCCGCCGCCTGCAGTGCTGGTATCCCATATGGGTGCTGGTTCAAGTCCCAGCTGCTCCACTTCCAATCCAGCTCTCTGCTGTGGCCTGGGAAAGCAGTGGAAGATGGCCCAAGTGCTTGGGCCCTGCACCCGTGTGGGAGATCCAGAAGAAGCTCCTGGCTTTAGAGTGGCTCAGCTCCAGCTGTTGCGGCCAACTGTGGAGTGCACCAGTGGATGGAAGACCTCTCTCTTTCTCTCTGCTTCTCCTTCTCTGTGTAACTCTTTCACATAAATAAATAAATCTATTAAATAAAAAAAAAAAAAGAAAGAGAGAGAGGGAGATCTTTCAATCACTGGTTCACTCCTCAAATGGCTGCAACAGCTGGGGCTGGGCCAGGCCAAAGCCAGGAGCCAGGAGCTTTATCCAGGTCTCCCACATGGGTGCAGGAGCCCAAACACTTGGGCTGTCTTCCACTGCTTTCCCAGGAGCATTAGCAGGGAGCTGGATGGGAAATGGAGCAGCCAGGTCTCCACCTGGTGCCCACATGGGATGCTGGCGCTGCAGGTGGTGGCTTTACACATTAAGCCACAGCACCAACCCCCATAATTCACAGTTTTGCACATACACAGTTAAGTCCAAAAGTCTGTGGAAAGTGGAATTAAAAAGTAAATTTTGGTGCAAAAAAATTTGAAATCCATGAATATGAGGAGAGTCTGTGAAAAAGTTCATGGAAAATGCATGTTATGAAACTGCAAAGATTTCAACTTTTTTTTTGCATCAAAATAAACATATTTTTAAATTTCATTCCTGGGGCAGCGCCGTGGCTCACTTGATTAATCCTCCGCCTGCAGCACTGGCATCCTATATGGGCGCTGGGTTCTAGTCCCGGTTGCTCCTCTTCCAGTCCAGCTCTCTGCTGTGGCCCGGGAGGGCAGTGGAGGATGGCCCAAGTCCTTGGGCCCCTGCACCCACATGGGAGACCAGGAGGAAGCACCTGGCTCCTGGCTTCAGATCAGTGCAGCGCCAGCCGTAGCGACCGTTTGGGGAGCAAACCAATGGAAGGAAGACCTTTCTCTCTGTCTCTCTCACTCACTGTCTATAACTCTGTCAATTAAATAAAAAAAAATTCCATTCCTTCCTTTATTCTGTGGAAACAATTAAGTAATTGTACAAAGATCTGTGACAGTGCTCCACCTTGCAGTGCCTGGTCTGAGTCCTGACCCCTCTGCTTCCGATCCGCGTTCCTGTAACGTGCCCTCTGGGAGACCGGTCTCTGACGCCCATGTGGGAGGCCTGGACTGAGTTTCCCGGTCCTGGCTTCCACCCACCTCAGCAGTCCTGGCTGCTGTGGGCTTCTGGAGAGTCAACCAGCAGACGGAAGAGCTCTCCCGTGTCTCTCTCTCTCTCTCTCTCTCTCTCTATATATATATATATACACACACACACACACATACACAGTGAAACAGGAAAAAAAAAAAAAGACAAAGACAAATTCTAAACACAGAATCACAGGCTGCAAGTCCCACTGTGGCATGGACAGCTGTCCTCACTACTAGGAACACAACGGTATCTCTAATCACTAATAAAACTAACAAAATATTCCACAGCAAGACCGGGAACCCAGGACAATATCCGGCAGGTGAGAGGCCTTCCGTTACTACTCAGGAAGCCACCGGGCGGTAGAAGTGAAAACCAGCGAGCGACGGTCCCGTGACCGTGCGTGCGCGCAGCCCTGCGGTGCGCGTGCCTGCAGATGTTTCCCACGCGTGCAGTCACGTGAACGTGCACGTCTGGGTGTGACGACAGCCATGCCATTTCCAGGGACCACTGGAGGATCGAACACTTGTATTTTGCTTTTCTCCACTTAATATACCACAGCCATCTCAGCCTCACATATAATTGCCGATAAACTTTACACTACATCTATTTTACGAATATTTTAGTTGTGTTTATTTTTCACAGATCAGGCGAACTACAGTGAACTACAGTCCTCATTACACCCCGGTCATCTGGGAGCTAATGTGTCCAGAGACGAAGTTACGGACTTTGCTTAGCATCGGCTCAGGCAGCGAGGCGTTACCTTGGAGGTGAACTGTCCATCCTCTCTGGCATCTTGGATGTGGTTCCACACTGTCACCTGGGGAGACTGTAAGATGATTTCTTCTGGGAACAGCACTTTGAGGACAAGAAGAGCAAGGGGGCAGCCATCAGTGAGGAGCTGAGGGCGTGAAGACGCCACACCTGTGCTGGCTGGGGTCACTCCTAAAGAGGTTCACACTCTGCTCCATTCCTTCCTGGAACTCCCACGCGGCTTCTAAACACAGTGCCACACTCCCACCGCACCTGCTCTGCGACACAGCCACGTCCTTCTGAGACAAAGCCAAATCCCAAGGGGAAAAGCAGAGCAAAGTGAATGACCTTCCAGTTATTTAAGTGGGATGTTTTCATAGAGGTGACATAGTAAGACATTAAGGGGCCAGCCTTGTGAACAGTGCGTTAAGCTACTGCCTGCGACACTAGCATTCCATACGAGCAGTTTGAGTTCTAGCTGCCCCATTTCTTTTTCTTTTCTTTTTTTTTTTTTTTTTAAGATTTATTTATTTATTCAAAAGGCAGAGGCAGAGGCAGAGGCAGAGAGAGAGGTCTTCCATCCACTGGTTCACTCCCCAAATGGCCCCAACTGCCAGAGCCACGCCAATCGGAAGCCAGGAGCCAGGAGCTTCTTCCAGGTCTCCCACATGGGTGCAGGGCCCAAGCACTTGGCCATCTTCCACTGCTTTCCCAGGACACAGAGGGCTGGACTGGAAGTGGAATAGGCAGAACTCGAACCGGTGCCCACGTGGGACGCCAGCACTGCAAGCGGCGGCTTTACCTGCTTCACCACAGCGCTGGCCCCGTGGCTCCTCCATTTCTGGTTCAGCTCCCTGCTAATGGCCCGGGAAGCAGCTGATGGCACAAGTGCTTAGGCCCTGCCACCCAAGTAGGAGACCCAGATGGATTTCCAGGCTCCTGGCTTTGGCCTGGCCCAGCCCCAGTTGTTGGGGCCATTTGGGGAGTGAACTAGCAGATGGAAGATCTTTCTGTAACTCTACCTTTCAAATCCATAAACAAATCTATTTTTAAGGAATTCTATGCGATGGAAGCACTAAAAAAATAAAAACATGGCTCTCACACAGTTTTGCTTCTAACATGAGACTGAAGAGACTACCTTACAGAGAACTCATAAAACACCCTAGGAAGACGTGACACAGCCGCTCTGCCACAACACACCCTAGGAAGACGTGACACAGCCGCTCTGCCACAACACACCCTAGGAAGACGTGACACAGCCGCTCTGCCACAACACACCCTAGGAAGACGTGACACAGCCGCTCTGCCACAACACACCCTAGGAAGACGTGACACAGCCGCTCTGCCACAACACACCCTAGGAAGACGTGACACAGCCGCTCTGCCACAACACACCCTAGGAAGACGTGACACAGCCGCTCTGCCACAACACACCCTAGGAAGACGTGACACAGCCGCTCTGCCACAACACACCCTAGGAAGACGTGACACAGCCGCTCTGCAAACAATACCTTTGACACCCAAGTGGACGACTTGCTCCAGAGCAAAGTGGCACCGTCTGCTCGTGGTCCTGCCGGGAAGAAGACAACACAGACACTAACCTTCAGTTTGCAACGGGCAGCCCGGCAGCCAACAGAATCTGCTTACACAGATGCTACAGCCTGAGCGTCTCCCTCACAACCCAGGTGGAACCGCACTGCGCTCCTCCAGCCCTGGGCGCGGGGACCCCCACAGGTCGTATGGCCCTAAGGGCACGGCTCCTGTGACTGCAGGTGAAGGCCAGCATCACCCGAGCGGGCTGGTGACGGTGGGGGGCTCTGTGCCACGTTGTGAGCAGCAACACGCTGCCCCGGCTCCGGCCTCCAGAACACGAAAACCACGCTTGTAAAGAAAGACCGCAGAGACGCAGGTCTCTCAAGGTCTCAGGGACATCGCCAGCAAGCGTGCAGCGCCAGGGGCTGTTATGCAGGCGTCTCTGTGGGACATCAGAGAAGCAGGAGTCCTCCACAAAGTTGTAAGTGGAAATGCCCTCGGTATCAGGCCACTTCTTTTCCGGGAATACTGCTGTTCTCACGCACAAAGAGGACAAGTGGAGAAAGTGAAAACAACGGTGAAGCACAGGGAAACTTGGTCCTACTTTGTCGACAGAAAAGTTAAGTATTGTTAAGGTCTCCTTTGAAACGCACTGACAACAAAGAGAACAAAAAGTCCACCTTCAATGACACAAGATCCCCAAACCCCAGAGCACACACAAGAAGAGAACCTGGCTCCAGCATACAGAGGCCCAGAGCCGATGCACACGTGCCTTCCCAGGGCAGCAGCCAGGTGCAGAGTTCTGGAAAACTCAGCCTTGGGGGCCCACAAGCTAGGGACACTCTCCCTGGATCATGGGGTGTGTGGTGCAGGACCACCTCCACCGGTGGAAGCCCGGGGGTGTGCACACCTTGGCGCGGCTCCTGAGGGGCTGCAGGGCATGGAGGCTGTGGGCTGCTCCTGACTCCGTCCTCTGCTAGTTAACTCCACTCACAGGAGACCAGCCAGAAGAGAACCACCCTAGGACTTAGCAAGATCCACTTGAAGAAGGACAAAAAGCTCAGAGCAGATCGGCGGGAGAGGAACACCCGAGGAAGCTGACCCGCAGCCTGCCTTCCCAGACCTCACTCCCCGACGGACAGCCAGCTGATGCCCTGCCACTTCTCCACGGTGGAGAGGGAAGGAAGGCTCTCAGGACCTTCTCCAAGCAACCGTGACAATGACTCCAGAAATGTGGCCAAGACAGAACCACACTTGCTGCAGACGCACAATGAAGACACCACAAGAATATCCCCCTTCCCCACTTCCTGCCTCCCACCAGAGATCTGCCCATGACCTCCTCTCTCCAGACACTTTGCAAAACAGCTTGCAAAACCAGATAAGCCAAAGGCCTCCAAGGCTTGTGGAAAGCCCCTGGAGCCAATTTCTCTCAGCAACCAGATAACAGCCCAGCTCTAGCGCCTTTGCACAGTCTATGAGCACAGACTGTAAGAACAGACTGTCAGCAGGATATGGAAGTCCTGGCTGCTCCACTTCCGATCCAGCTCCCTGCTAACCACCTGGGAAAGCAGCAGAGGATGGTCCAGGTCCTTGGGCCCCTACCACCTGTGGAGGAGACCCAGAAGAAGCTCTTGGCTCCTGGCTTCGGATTGGCTCTCTCTCTCTCTGTCTCTATCTTTCTCTGTAACTTTTAAATAAATAAAATAAATCTTAAAAAAAAAAAAAAAAAAAGAACAGACTGTCACCACCTCTGCTTCGATAAAGCAACCCATCTCTATCAAGGTCGGTCTCCGTCTCCTTCTTCTGTCTCCTTTCTGGGGGCCACAAAAGGCCAGAACCCCGAGGTATTTAAACCTAACACACATCAACAGGCCAAGCACTAATTCACCCCCAAGCAGTGATGAAAGAGAATGAGCACAGTATTGGGTAATAAATTCCAGAAACACTTTAAGGAAGGAATTCATTAACATACAAACAACATTCTCACTTTTAGTATACAAGAAGGTTTGATATAGTTATTGCTACCGGTCACAGAGGGGAGGGTGGTTGCCGGAGCGAGTCTCGTGGGTTCTTTTCCTCAGCTAAAAGTATAGAAATAAAGAGCCGCGAAACAATTTGCCCAGAGGCAGAAGCTTTTATTTGATTGGCAGGTAACAGAGAGGAGAGCAGGCGGAGTGCCCGAGCAGACGCTGGCTCTGAGGAAGTGTCCCGGGTTTGTAAGGCATTGCTGTCTGCTCACTGGGTTATTCTGTGGGATGCCCACTGGACGGGGGGTGTTCACGTATGCATGTTGATTGGCTTGAGACTCAAGGAGATAGCGGGGTCTCCTGGAGACTCTCCTTAGGGGCTTAGCCCCCTCCTCTGCTAGCTCGGGTGGAAGACTGCAACGAACTTGAAGGTGTGGTTTAAAACCGCAAGGTCACACAAGATAGCCAAGATCTCCTGGAGCCGGGCCAGCTCTCCCCAGGGGCCCAGCCCCTCCCCTCCAGCTGTGGGTGAAAGCCTGCACCCACCCTGCAGGTGAGAGTTAGAGCTGCAAGGTCACACATGCAGCACAAGAAGCTGTTAGTGGCGAGATGCCGGTCGGCAGTCGCCAGCCTGCTTGGCGAGGACATTCTACCTGTGTCTGAGGGGCCCCCGGCCCCCGGCCCCCCAGCCGGCCTCAGTTTTCTCATTAAAACACTCCATCGAATGAACAGGTTGAGGAATAAAATGATGATCTGAAGAAATGCTCAAGAGTCAAATGAATAAGTACTCAAGAGCAAGGTCTTAAAACAGAACTCGATGAGTAATTCCTTATCATCGTTAGCACAAAGCACATCAGACACCAAGCGGCAAACACCAGACAGAGACACAAAGAAACCGAGAACTCCAGAGGACGAGTGCAGCACGGAGTGGGGCGTCCTCTGCGCCAGGCTCCGGCCCCCCTGGGCAGGCGGAGGCGCTGCCCGGGGCACAGAGCCGGCGCTTGCTGTGTCTGTGTCACTGCACCAGGAGGCGAAGGTGGGACGGGGACACTGGGAGCGGCCGGCTATAGTGAGGGGACACTTTCTTCAACAGGGTGATACTCATCCAGCACTCAACAGCTCACCCAGAGAAGTCTCAAGTCCATGACTTCAACTTCCTCCAAACGAAGGTGGACAAGCAAATGAGAGCCAAAGCACAGAAAACACGGAATAAACAGGAGAAAACCCTGGTGAGTGCCGGGGAGCTGCGGTGGGTGCGGCAAGGGAGGGCAGCAGGCGAGACTGAGGAGGGCGGGGACGAGTTGTGCGAGGCCGGGCCTGCACGCTGCGGGGGATGGGGTGGCGTCCTGACTCCACAACGCACAGGTCCCTTCAAAGGCACAGGCACAGGCACAGGCGCCCGAGCTCACTCAAGAAGAGGCCAATCACCACGAAGAAATGGGAATGCCCTCCGCCCCTCCTGGACTTTGGGGCTGATGTAATACCACACAACATGTGCTTTATAAAACACAAAAGGGGGGAATATTAGTAAAATGGTGTGGTTTTGTCTGTGGCATGATTTATGTCCCAGACACCGTCCTAGGCTCTAGCCCCTGCCGTCATTGCTGGAAGCCAGGTGACCAGATGGCCCAACCACAGGTGTCAGCTCCACCCCACCCTAATGGGATCTACTGCTTCTACTTCTCCCCCCCCCATAAAGGTGTAACAGGACCTGCTTCTCACACACGTGCTCTCCCCCCATAAAGGTATAACAGGACCTGCTTCTCACATACGTGCTCTCCCCCC